GACGGCCGCGGCCGGCGCCGCGGCCCGCGCGGCCCGCGCGCTCGGCAAGCAGCGCCAGGGCGCGGCGCTCCACGCGCTCAAGCACCGCCTCGAGGACACCGCGGGCCTCGGCATCGCCGTGCCCGGCGTCGAGGAGCGGTCGGCCATCAAGGCGCCCGCGGCCGACGCGATCGCCGCGCTGTCCGCCGCGGACGCGCGGGACGCGCTCGTCGCCGCGGCGGCCCTCGCGTCCGCCGACGCGCTTCTCGCCGTCTACGAGGCGTCGGTCCACGAGGGCCTGCACGCGTGGCTCTCGCGGCGGCTCGCGGCGCACGGCAAGCGCCACGACGCCGTCGTCGCCGAGGCGGCCAAGGTCGGCGGCGCCAAAGTCGAGGCGGCCGTGGACGCGGCGCGCGACGCGCTGGCGGCCGCGGAGGCCCAGGTCGCCGTCGGCGACGACGAGGCGACGCACGCCGTCGAGGCCGCGGAGGCCGCGGTCCGCGGCGAGGAGGCCTTGTTCGAGACGACGGCGAAGACGCGCGCGCTCAACGACCTCGAGGAGGCGAAGCAAAAACGGGGCGTGCTTTTAGCCAGGGCGCGGCGCGCGCCCGGCGACGTGCTCGCGCTGCCGGACCTCGTCGAGGCGCTCGCGGCCGCGGACGCCGCGCTCGCGGCGCCGACGGCGGGCCTGAGCGGCGCGCCGCTCTTCGCGGTCGCAGAGCGCGCGTCGGACAAAGTCGCCGCCCTCGCGCGCGCCGTCGAGGAGAAGACGCGCAGCGCCTTCGCGGCGACGAAGATGGAGACGAAGTTCCGCGCACGGCACGCGCACCGCGAGTACGCGCGCCGAAACGAACCTATGCAACTTCAACGTGCGCGTCTTTGCACGGTTTCGAGGCGTGTCTTGAGCTCGGAGTCGAGAGAAAACGATGCGTCCAAAAATCAGCTGAAACGACGTCGATGTGACCGAGCTCGAGAGGTTTCGCCGGACCGGTCCGTTCCACGGGTCGTTTCCGGCGCAGGCGCGTACGCGCACCGCAAGGCCGCCGCGAAGAAGCTCGAGGCCGTGTCGCGGGGCCTGCGGCGCCGCCAGTCGCTGCAGGTGAAGAAGGCGTCGGCGCTCGTGCTGGAGACGGCCATGCGGGGCAAGGCCGCGCGCGCGCAGTTCGCGCGGTCCGTCGAGGCGCGGCGCCAGCCTGTGTGCAAATCAAATCTTCAACCCGACTTCAATGTGCGCGTAATCGAACGGTTTGGACCGGAATCTTTCGCTGTGCTTCGAAAACTCGACGAGAGCAATCGATTCGTCCAAAAATCAGCCCAATCGACTTCGATTTGATCGAGATAGAGAGGTTTGAAGTTTTTGCTGGACAGGGCGTTCCACTGGTTGATTTGCACACAGGCGCCAGCGCGCGGCGACGCGGCTCCAGGCCTGGTGGCGCTGCGTCGACGAGCGCGGCGCCTACCACTTCGTCCTCGACCTCACGAAGAAGTGGGCGTCCGTGATCCGCGACGCGCACCCGCGCGCCAGGGACGGCGCCATCCACGAGTTCGTGGTCTTGCACACGATCGTGCTCTGGCACAAGTACACGCAGGCGGGCCGCGTCGGCGAGTTCATCGGGTCCCGCAAGCTCCACATGGTCGTGTCGAACAAGGGCAACGTCTACTTCTGCGACGGCGGCGTGTCGACGTTCGCGCCGGACTGCACGCCCGCGCTCCAGCGCGCGTTCCTCCTCGAGAAGAGCGGCGCCAAGAGCTCGGTCACCGTCGACGACTCGTCGACGGTCGTCGACCCGAGCTCGCTGCCCAGCGGCCGCGAGCACCCCTTGGTCATCACGGCCGCGGGCGGCGCGCCCGCGGCGGCCGCGCCGTGCGTCTTCCGCTTCAAGCACAAGCAGGGCTTCAAGAGCTCGAACATGCACCTCACGGACCTCTGCGGCACCTTCAACCGCTGGGTCACGCTCAAGATGGTCTTCGACCAGAGGGCCTGGGACTCGTTCACGCCGAAGAAGACCGCGCGCCTGAATTTGGACGTGTCCGTCGCGAATCTGCCGGTGGACGCCTACGGCTTCCTCTACAAGAAGCCCTTCAAGCGCCAGACGCGCGACCTCGCCAACGCGCCGCCGGAGCCGCCGCCGGCCGACGCGCCGAGCCCCGCGACGGCCGCGAGGCGCACAAAGTCCGCGACGCGCCGCGCGTCCGCGTCCCTCGAGGGGTCCAAGGTCGCCAAGGAGGAGAAGAGCCGCTTCTTCATCCTCCAGGGCGGCATGCTCCGCTACTTCAAGCACGAGGCCGACGACGTGCCCAAGGGCCAGCTCTGCCTCCCCGAGCGCAGCCCCGCGTGGAAACCAACCGCCGGTTCGGGGGGTCCCGACCAAAACTTCAGAACTCTTTCGTCACATCGAAGTCGATTCGGCGGATTTTTGGACGAATCGATCGCTCTCATTGGGTTCGCGAAGCATGGCAGAAGAGCTCGCGTCGAAACCGTCGCATACGCTCCCGTTGAAGTCGGGTTGAAGATTTGAGTTCCACCCAGGCACGGCCGCGCGGCCGCGACGGTCGCGCCGGGGCCCGAGGACGGCCAGTTCGTCGTCAAGACGCCGGAGCTGCCCGAGGGCCTCGTTGTGCGCGGAGCTGACCCCGCAGACGCCGCGGCCTGGATGGACGCCATCGCCGCCGCCGCCGCCACGGACCTCGCGAAGAAGCAGGACCGCATCAAGCGCAAGGAGACAATCATGGCCCTCTACGGCTTCCGGGCCAACATGTGACCATGCCGCCGCGCGCGCCTTCCCCCCAATCCGCTGGCCCCTAGAAACACCCCTAGAATAAACCGCATGCACGTCGCTCTCCTTGTTGGGCCAGGCGGGCGTCGCGTTCAAGAACGCGAGGCACCAGACCGCGACGGTCGGCGCGGAGAGGAACGCGGCGACGACGACGCCAGGGCCAAGCACGACTCGACCGCGCGCAAGCGCAGCATCTCGGGCTCGGGCGACGACGCGGCGTGAAGACTTAGGCTATGCGCGCGCGTCGAGGCGCGCGAGGTTCCTTGTAGCTAGCTCGTGGCCCTTGGCAGCGGCGCGCTCGAACAAGTATCTGGCTTTGCCGAGGTCGACTTCCGTGCCTTGTCCGTCGCTGTAACAACCTCCAAGGTTGATCTCTCCGGGGGTATAGCCTTGATCCGCCGAGAGCGCGTAGTACCGGAGCGATTCTTCAAATTTCTCCTCAGAGTGAAGTAAAACCCCTAAATTGCATTGCGCGGTCGCGTTGCCCCGGTCCGCGGCCATGCGCCACAGCCGCTCCGCCTTCTTCTTGTCCAGCTTGACGCCATTTCCATGCTCGTACAATTCCCCAAGAAATACCATCGCCTCCACGCTTCCGAGCTCCACGGCGCGCTTCCAAATCTTCGCGGCTTTCTTATCGGATTTCACGAGGCCCAAGTAACCGCACGAGTACGCACCTCCCAAATACGTAATCGCTTCCGGCACCTCGTTCTCCACATGGCGGCGCAGACGCGCGAGGCTTTCCGCGTGGGTTTTCGCGCGCGGTACGCGACAGAGGGGACACGCGTCGGTGCCGATCTTGTCCGCGCACGATCGGCAGACCGTCCGGCAGCAACAGACGCGAAACACGCGCGGAGCATTCACGTCCCACTCCTCGAGACAGATCGGGCACCGCGACCCGTACCGCTCAGACAGCGGCTCCCGCTCCGGGTTCGCCTCGCGTCGCACGCGGGCCGCCTCGTGTTCCGCCGCGATGCGCGCGCGGACCTCGTCGGCGTGCGAACGCGGCGCGGGGCCGTAGAAGACGTCCCGCGGCGGCGACGGCGGGGGCGTCGGCGCTTCCGCCCGCGCCGCTTCCGCGGCCTGGATCTTCTTGCAGGCCTTCCGGTGGCCCCGGTCGCGCCAGTCGATGCGTTGGCAGTCCGTCGAACAGTAGGCCGTCGTGCCGCACCCTTTACAGGGCCGGGCATCCTTCTTCCCGCAAATCGTGCATATGTTGAGCGCCAGCTTTGTGCGAGTTTTTCGCGCCTCGTACTCTCGCTTCTTCTTGATCAGTTCCGGGTCCATGCTCTCCACGCTCGATCGTCGCCGACGATGTCCGACGCTCCCTGGCAAAATCGCTCAAATCAACCCAGGCCTAAGCCCACCCTTAGAGCACCGCGCTCATGTCGTTCTCCATGCCCCCCTCGGCGGCGTCGTCAGCCTTGCGCCAGGCGGGCTTCGCGTTCAAGAACGCGAGGCACCACACCGCGACGGTCGGCGCGGAGAGGAACGCGGCGGCGACGACGCCAAGGCCAAGCACGACTCGCCCGCGCGCAAGCGCAGCATCTCGGGCGACGGCGACGGCGTGAAGACTTAGGCT